GTCGCGTAGCCTCTATAAGGCAGAAAAAACTACCTTCGTCATAAATTAAAGAGTTTCGCGTCTTGATCATTGTAAATTATACTAATTGACAGGAATAAAAGTATTGAGTTCTATTCTACTAGCACGTCAAATTTTCGATACATTTTGCTGAGAGTCAGAAGTAATTTTATATATTGCAAAAAATTGCATTCATTGACGCTATTACCTTTCTATAGGGTAACGGTAGGTGAATGGTAGGTTTTGAAATCATCTTATAGCTTAGACATGCATTCACAAAAATGGAATCCATGTAGGAGAGCTTTACTACAGAGTATGAATAGCGCTAAAAAGAAAAACAAAGGATTTGTGCAAGACTTTCTATAAGGCGGTAAAACAACACAATGGCGATCACTTACTGGTTTCATTGCTTTTATTAAGATACAGTAAGGTGATAAGATTTTTTTTTGATTAGGTCTCTTAGAGTGGATACTCCTTGCAGACTTCGCTTACGAATACTTTTTAGCGAGCTTTGTAGAAATCCGAGTTTGCCCTTAGTCTACCGTATCATCATAATAAATTGGTAGTGTGCAGATTTGATATGTTGTACGTGGTCAGCATGTTAGAAAAAAACCGGATAAAACCAATAGGGGACAGTTTTCTTGGCAAACTACGTACTCCTGCGTATTTTCGCGATGTGCTCCTGTATGGAACATTATTTTATCGTGAACGGCATACCAGTTCAATTAGGTAAAAGTTAGTTAATTAATTCAGCGACTTTCGATAAATTTTTATATCAGAAAGGGGAGTGCCTGACTTTTATGCTGCTCTCTTGAAACAGTTTATTTTTCTCCTTCATCCAGAAGGAGCTTTCGCAATTGCAGAATTGCCAGAGCTGTGAATGATGTCAGCTGGAAAGTACTCTGCAGACAGACTATTTTGGTGTGACGTCCAAGTCAAATCGAAGATCATTTTCAAGATGGTCAACAAGTCTAGTTGTAATAAAAACGAGGAACTATCTCTTCCTTTCACACCTTATGAAACCGCCGCAGGTCGAATTACAGGCCTTGTCTTTCAGTCACAGGGCAAGGTCTAGTGCGTAACAAAAATTAGGAAAGCTAGATAATTGAACATTCCTTTCGGCTACTCCGTTTGACTTAAGCCCTAGTGGGCGTTATATTCAAAAACACGTTGATTATTGAACCTACAGTGCTTTGTATTCCCCATACTATGCTCATAAAACTATGTGTTTTGCGATTCCAACCATTTTAGTCGTAACGTTCTCTAGCGAGGTGTTTCACAACAATGGGTAATGGTATCGACAATTTTTGAGCAAAAATGGGAAAAGGCTATAAGCAGTGAGAAACACTGTATTAAGTGCTCGGATAAGTTCGTGCTGTTTCTTCAAATTTAAACTCTGAGAAATCGGAAGTTATGACAATATATTGTACAGCATACGAGAGAAGAAATCTCCCTCTCTACGCAAATGCACTTGGCTTATCCGGTAAATTTAGTTCTGTCAAATTGGAAGTGATTAAAGTTAAGTTTAGAGGACCAAAAAAAGCTCAACCGATAGCTTTGTTTCTTTAAAACGGCTCACTAAGGCCTACTATGTAGAATTATGGTTGCCATATCCTACATTGCTTAATCATGTCTGAAACTAATTGGGCTATTTAACATACTGATTACAAAAACTATACTCATATGGCACAATAAGCCCATCTATAAAAATAGAATGGGTATGCAAAGATAAGGTGAAAATTAAGAAAATTTAGGTAATTTCATCCTACGAATTGACAACACCACTGAGAATGGATATAATTTTTGTATTCAGTGTGTCAATTAATCCCACCAGACTACTTCTCAAGCAAGTTAGTGAATTTGACCCTGTACAACCAGTAATCCTGCAGTATGGACGTGTCAATCACCATAGCCAATTGCCCCACTAGCTAGCATTATTGTAACTTTCGGATTCCTCACAAGAAAAAATTAAATTGTTGAGCTTTTTAGCCTTCCGCAAATACATTTTCAATCACTTTCAACCAGTTTTCTTTAAAATTTTTGGATTTGAAAAAGACGGCCCGAACTTATCCGACAACCCAAAGCTTTGGTTGTCTTATTGCTTCGGTTCGAATACAAGCTTTTTAGATATTTCATAAATCATGGGTAATGATGTTGCTTTTGAAAAGGCCGCTTTTTCTTTACTCAATATTTTATTTATGGGAACCTGAACGAAAGAGCAGGACTAGTATTTTGCAACCCCTATAGCATTTGATAGAAAATCTTTAAGGTCACAAAGGAAGGCTGCAGCCAAAAGGAAGCTTATGTGATTAGCTACTGTTAGCAT